GCTACTGTTTCAAGTATCTATGTGGGCAATTCCCAGCTCTTTCAGAAGTGAAACTTAAAGAAGGGAATTTTGTTGGACTTCAGATAAGGAAATTAACTTCGGATGAACAGTTCGAAAGGACAATAAGGAATTTGAAAAAGAAGTGTGGATTGCCTTTAAATATGTTATTGACAAATTTTTAGGAAACAACAAGGACCCAAATTACGAAAATATTGTCAATATCATGCTTGATAAATTCAAAGAGTTGGGTTGTAATATGAGCTTGAAAGTTAATTTCTTACATTCACATTATGACTACTTCCCTGAAACTCTCGGTGCCGTCAGCAAAGAACAAGGGAAAAGGTTTCATCAAGACATCCGGGAAAAGGATAAGAGGTATCAGGGAAGGTTGAACATCAGCATGATGGCTGATTACTGCTGGTCGTTGAAACGAGATACTCCAGATGCTATACATAAGAGAAATACCACAACACTTAGTTTTGAGACTAAAAGATATAGATTTCACACACAAAAAAAATCAGGATGGATGAGAATGCATATTCGTTTGACATCAGTGCTCTTCCCTTTTCTTCAGTTTGTTTGTATTTTTGTTAATAAACATAATAATGAAAAACTTTCACTGTGGTAAACGAAATAATAATTTGATCTAAATAAGAGTTTTTTCTTCCCGATTTGTAAAAAATCCTTACGTGATAGAAATAAATGAATATTATTTTAGAAATTTGCGTAGCTGAATTATGTAAAATCCGTTATTAAAACCAAAATAACTTCCATGAAGTTTAATTGTTTGTTATGAATTTTGCGCAAAGCTACACGAGGGCTATCTGCGCTAGCCGTCCCTAATTTAGCAATGTAAGAGTAGAGGGAAGGCAACTAGTCATCACCATTCACCACCAACTCTTGAGCTACTCTTGTACCAACGAATAGTGGGATTGATCGTCACATTAGAACGCCCCCATGGATGAAAGGGCGAGCATGAAACAAGGTCCAGTAATCTCCATCATTTAGCAAACACTTTCCATTTGTGACTTCAATACAAATAAGCAGAAAGCATGAAATTCAATGTAGCCATAAAACATTCCCAAGTAGCCTACAATTGATATGTTTCTCTTTATTTGCTGTTCATTAATTCAGAGGCTGAGTAAAGCCATTATGCATCTAGAGACAAAACAAATTAATTTAATTTTTGGAAAAACGTATTTCGGAACTAGTTAATATAAGCAGAATAAGATATTACCTGACGTCAATACCATAAAAAAAGAAACATAAGCCTAAAAAATTAATGTTTAGAGACTATATATCTAATGCTTTGAAGCTTACACTGAAGAAATGGAGAAAATATTCACGTAGTTCATTTATTGTTTGAACTTTGAAATCTGAACGTCAGTCTTATAACGCATACGCGGTCCCAAAGTGCAGAAAGCGTTTTTGAAACAATGAGTCGTGAACTCTAATCCTAAGATTCACAGTCTACTTACACTACCCACTAGCCCACTCCCGGCCGGAATCACAGAAAAGAAAGAGGCTGACTCTTGTAAAGAATTATAATTTTTTTACCTGAAAGGTTCCCTATGCGCACGTAGACTCAATAGCCAAGAGCTACTGGCTAGAGGACAGCCAGCCAGCAAGTAACACTCGCCATCACAAGGGCGTTATCTGCTCTTTGAACCAAAAAACATTTTTATAACGCGTTCACAGCTAAAAGTGCACAGTGTGTTCAGCGGCATCACATCTTGAACCATGGGCCTTTTAATTTATAGCTCATTTCGCTAATTACCCAGCCTGTTTACAGAGAAATAATGGTTTAGCTTAAAGTTTCGGTCTATAGTTTTCTGGGAGAATAATTCGGAAAACACTGAGAGCTCAGATAAGCAGTTCCATGAATAAGGAAACTACTACCAGAAGAATTAAAGCTAAAAAAGTACTTGGTGCTTTGAAAATTTCTCCCTCATTTATAAAATAAGAAATAATCTTTGACATGCAATAGAGAATATTAAATTCATTCGATATCCTTCATAAATATTTCATAATATCGAATGTTACCGTGTTATTTTCAGGAGAACTTACTTACTTACTAGCACTAGATAATTATACTTACTAATAATGACAGATTGGACCAGGAAATTTGTGGATTTATCCATATTAGAAAGACATGTCTGAGTTTTCATGTGTGTGTGAGAAATAATGAGACTGGACAAGTTTAACAAAATGAACACAATATTTATTATTCACATGCAAAAGAAGAAAACGCAGTGTAAGTACTTGCTCAAACGAAAAAAATCGCTTCTACAGTATTATGATTTGGTCCGCAGTTTTCTTTCCGTCTAGATATATTTCTATAAAACTAAACATGTTGATCTCCAATGTGAACCGAACTTGTAGATCTTCAGATAGAACTGGACTAGAAGCGTGTTTTAATTCAACAGGTAAACTCGATTTATTTGTCCATTTGACAGCATCACCTCACGACCCTTGTTCTCTCACAGCGTTGGATAGCTGTAACATATAGATATCGTCAATTCAGCCAGCAAAGGATATTGCAGTCGGTGATCCATTCAGCACGGAAACTATATTACTGCAGTATCTCTTTGAGCATAGTATACATTATTTATTGTAGAAAACACAGAAATGATAATAACATGGCAACCTCAACCATCTTCCGGATCATGCATTTATTCCAAAACTGCATATGAACTAGAAAAATGGAAATCTTTCTAAATTTCTATATAACTAAAAGCAGGTAAAAAACATGATATGCCTGCATATCACACTGCAAGTATTAAATTTAAAGAAACGTTCAAGGACTTACCTATCAAAATGTTGCTCAAATCTATGATACACAAAGCTATATATTTCAGAAAAGATTAATTCTAAAAGTAAAGCATGCATTTATTTACTTATTTTATTGAAAACTAAATTCAGTCTTCTAAAGTTCATAATTAATAACCTATATTTAGATATCTTTTGAAAACAGTAAAAACATACCTATTCAGAACTAAAAAAAAAGTTCACAAAGTAAAATTTACGCACGTCTTTCGTTGATTGGATAAGGGGATTTTATTTACAATCAAAACATTGTAGCCTTGTCGTGAATAACATTAGATACGTAAAGTTCAATAACTTTATGGAGTTGTTGTTCGGCCATTTTTAGGTGTGTCATTTAGCAATTTAAAACAACATGATTAGCGATAAAATTATTTCCATGCTATTTCCTGTTTTGTAAATGAAGCTTAAAAAAGAATTAAATATAATTTACCTCACTGATAGATTATGAATCATGAAAGCCTGTCTGGCTTCGTCGTCACAACTACAGTTTTAACCAACAGATTATAGCTCGTCGTTGTGTATGGTGACTATAAATAAAGTAAATTCTCCTTATTTAGTTAGTACCATTGGGATGATTAAGTCATTTGTGGCAAAACAATTATTTATGTGACCTGTGTGGTAGAAATAATTTACTATTTCTAACTTAACTTTTCATCGAGTGCTGCCAAGTGGTTTCTGTATCGGACTGTGAATATAAGGTTCCATGGTTCTCGTCCCGATACCGCCATAAAGATATCATGCTCCGCCAGGTGGTTAGGGCGCTCGACTCTCAATCTGCGAGTCATGGATTCGAATCTCCATCTCACCAAACATGCTCGCCCTTTCAGCCGTGGGAGCGATATAGTGTGACAGTCATTCACACTATTCATTCGTAAAAGAGTAGCCCAAGAGTTGGCGGTGTTGACTAATTGCATTCCCCTTAGTCTATTGCTTCAACATTATAGACTGATAGCGCTGTTGTTGTTGTTTGAAGTTAAGCACAAAGCTACACAATGGGCTATCTGTGCTCTGGCCACCACGGGTATCGAAACCCCGTTTCTAGCGTTGTAACTCCGCAGACATACCGCTGTGCCACTGGGGGGCGACTGATAGCGCAGATAACCTTTGTGTGCTTTGCGCAAAATTCAACAAAGCAAATTAAACAAATTAAGTTTCAGTGCTCAAATAAATCTTCAGATAGCTAGGCTCGAGATTTCGCCTAGAAAACGCGTGCTATTCCTCAAATATTTCCATTCATATAGAAATACAGTTTCTACCACCAGATGACAGGCCAGGCCCTTCTTGTACGCTTGTTTCTTTGAAGCTGAGCACAAAGCTCTGCCCACCACGGGTATCGAAACATACTACTGTGCCACTACGTGGAGCTTTTGAGTCAAATAATTACCTTCAGTTAGGAAGGTTGGGGCAGTTAAGTCACTTGTGTCAATACAACAGCAACATAACGATGCAGTTAAAGTAGAGCCACGTATTAATTTTATGGCATTGCAAACGTTTGCTTTTCAGTGTTATTTTTAATACTAAATTTTATTGCATTATAGGATTTTTAATACATAAGCTTGTAACATCGCCCAAAATAACTAAATCATAAATGATAAGTGTGCTTGAATACACAGACCATTCCTTAAAAGGCTTTCGATTAAAATCCTTAAAAATCAAAGTTTTATGAAAATACTTATTAAAGATGTCATCTGAGCAACAGTGTGTTATGTTATGAATTTCGCACAAAGCTACACGAGGGCTATTTGCGTTAGTCGTCCATAATTTAGCAGTGAAAGACTAGAAGGTAGGCAGCTAGTCATCACCACCCACCGCCAACCCTTGGGCTACTCTTTTACCAACGAATAGTGGGATTGACCGTACATTATAACACTCCCAAGTCTGAAAGGGCAAGCATGTTTGGTCGGACGGGGATTCGAACCCTCGACCCCCAGATTGCGAGTCGAGCGCCCTAACCACCTGGCAAAATAAATAATGGTTTATTGATCTACAAAATATATATATTGGTAATGAAGTTAGTAAATATTGCTGTTTAGTGAGTTTATAAAATAAGATGGTGTATATACCGTTTACTAATATTTTCTCTTTTCAAACGTGTTCCATGAATATTATTTAAAAGGTGCTTACAAAGAATTAGAGTTAATACACTTGTGGCTATTTTTATGTAGTTTTCTTACCTTTTGAACCATCCTGATGATCTGGCTGTAGCAGAAGACCATAACAAACACAGGAAGAAAGAAACCAGCTATAAAGAGATAAATGATATAGGACTTGTTGTTCTTTGTTTCTGTCATCCAGTCTACAGAGCAACTTATTCCTGGAGGTTCTAAGACGTAGCGGCTCCACCCGAAGAAGGGAGGTAAACACAAGCTTAACGAATAGAGCCACGTACAAATGACGATGAAAATGGACCTTCTGGGCGACATTTTCGACGAACCATAAGGTCTGGACATAATAATATAACGCTCGGTAGATATCGCTGTCAGAGTTCCAATAGCTGTCATTCCTACACGTGATAAGATCATACACATTGATACAGAGGAATTGATTCAATAAAACATCTACAGTTACCAGCTGAAGAGGAATGATATTCTCCGAAATTGGTCTAGTACAAAGGAGTGAACTGAAATAAAATATAGATTGATTATTTTGAAATAGTTTATCACGAGAAGAACCGTGAGGAAAACCGAGAGAAATATCATTTAGATAATATTGAGTTCATTGGTAGTAGTAATGCTGTCAAACCCTACTAGTAGAGCAGGATATCTAACTGTAATAAGATAAACTTCATAATATATCTAATTCGAAAAAAAAAAACATAAACTGTGTCATTTTATGGGTGCATTTTTTGTATTCTTTATCTGAAGCTAACTGACAGACTTTCTAAGAAACTTGCTAACTAAGTTATCAATCATCTACTGTAATAGACACAATAATCAACTACTCTAGCCTGAAATTTTTACCTAAACTTTCAAGAAAAGTTCAGACGTCGATTCATGAGCCAAGTTGCCAAATGAGGATGTGAACCACGAATTACGAGTCATTTGATTGACTTGCTTAATATTTAACTATCTAAAAGCAGTTCAAGAAGAACTAAGTGTAAGTTTTATATTAATATTAGGCCTATATCGCTGCAAACAAACGATTACATTTAAGCCTAACTCTCAACTATGATGGTTATTTTTTCTAATTTAAGTTCTAGGATACTCCATCTCTATATTAAATTATCTTATTTAGTACATATAATTACTTTTTGAACTAGTCTTTCTTGTTTTAGATAAGTATATACTTTTCATCTTTAAATTACACAATAAGAGAAACTTTTCATTGAATGCTCCAAACAGATGGACTATCTGCAATCTCGACAAACAGTGGTGTTGATCTTCCTCGGGATAAGTACAGTATGTCTCTATATTGTTGTACCGATCTTTAGTTTTCCAGTTCTCCGTACGAGGGTACTTGTTGCACATTTAAAGTTGCGGTGTAGAATGATCTTTGTGCGTTTTTCTGTTTTGCAACAGTAGGTAGCTTTTCAATAAATGTTTTTACTAAATTAAACATACTTAAGTAGTGGTGGTGGGGGATATAAACACCAAAGTATTTGTTTTTGAAAAATTAATTTGGTTTGAAAGATGTTATCATTGTATTCTAAAGCCCTCAGAAATGTATGAGAATGCAAAACACCTTAGTGTTATTATAAAGTAAGAAAATCAGTTAACAATAAAATAACATCGCAAGAGCCATATATACGTTACATAATAGTTAAGGATTAAAAAGGATTTTGGTTGCGAATGGATAAATTTCTATCTGTTTAGTTTCACAAACTGAAGGATTTGTATTTTGAATATTCTTAGGATCAATAAGCTGAAATTTCAAGAGTTTTAAAAATTATCAAATCTCTGAAGTGGTTTCTGCGAAGACATTTCTGTGCTACGCCCCATAATGCACCAAATGTATTCAGTAAGATGCTATTCAGCAGTTTTTTTCGTATAGACTACATGGCTTTTGCTCTTAATATGAGCCATGATGTCGTACATTTTCACTTTCAGGCAGCATACAGCATATTTGCCTACAGTCCACTGTTTACCTGCTGGTAGTAGAAGACAGTTTTATATTCCTCCATAAGAGATCTTATACTTTTCTAAGCTTTATGTCTGTTAATCAAAAGTGAATTGCGTTACTTAACAACACAGTGTTCAATATATGTGCGCAAACTTAGTATTCCTTTTTTAGATATAATTATACATTCCTTTAAGCAACGTACTGTTTATTACCTCTGTTTTCTGAGCAACTAAACGTAAAGCCTCAGGTGTAAATAACCTCACGGCAGGCGTCACTTATATTAAGGCCCACTTTTTCTTTCGATTGTTTCTAGAAATCTTTGCTTTCTCTGTTCTTTGTTTGCTTATCTAAAAATGGTTCTTTTTTTGTTTATGTGACAACTTCAAGATTTGTTTTTATCTGTATTGAGTTTTGGAAGTAAATGAAAACTAGAACTTTGAGCAACCATATTAATAAAGTTGGATACCTTGCGAGCCCGAAACGATTTGACCATTGATATAATGAGGTTGGATTCCCTGCAAGTCCAAAACAAGCAATATTTGATGTTCACAGATGACGTCATAATTATAAATATGGTGTAAATCTATAAAGTAAAAATTTTCGCAGTAAGTATTTGTTATGCTTAGACAGCTTTGTTATGAGGAATATAATGATTTACGCTATGTCTTTTATCACACAATGTTAAAACAATCTATGAGATTGAAACATTGCTTTTATCAGTTTGCGGAAATCTAGATTTGATTTTATTTCGGTGTGAGTATTGACATATTAAGCTCTGAGATTTCGTTTGCACTGGAATATTTTGAATTAAAATTTGCACACTTAATCGTATCTGCATATATGGAATGGTCATAATACGTATATATCCAATCTGAAAAAAGACATTTGGACAAGGTCAGCGAACTTCAATTTCTGCTTATTATAAACATTTCGACGTACTGATCAAACATACTTAAAGTATTTACTATCATTTAGATAGGGTGGAAGCAGATGGAAACTATACACGCAGTTGTTTTCGATTAAGATCTCGGTGGCTCAGTGAGCTTACAACTCTAAAAATCAGGTTTCGATACTTGCGGTAGAGAGAGAGGGAGAGAGTGGAAGTGCAGATAACTCATTGTATATCTTTATCCTTGTATATCCTTTATCCTTTTTTGATTAAATCAGTAATTTTTCATTTTATATTTTTTGTTTATTTGAGAGACTAAGAATGAAATGGAATAATTTTACACTATAATTATACTTAAAAAACTAAATTAGACTACGGCATAAGATTGAGTGGTATCTCTAGCTTTTTCCTCTGAAATTAATAATGAGATGTTTTAGTATTATGATTTAAGGTTTCGTTATTTCTTGGGTGTTTTGAGTCAACCATGTGTGTATGTGCAGGACTGTGTTAGTGTTAGTGAGGACTGTAAAAAATACTGATTATTATCTTTATTTACTTAAATATTATTACAGAACACAGTGACTATGCCTTTTATTTTACCATATCCCGATGGACTTTTAGAAGATTCCGTAAGTTATGATACACTTGTACACGACACTTAAGTACACCCAATTGTTGACGTCAACCATATAACCTTGAGTATAAACCTACTCCTTGTGTTTTATTTATTAAAGGTTTGTATTCCTTTATTAAAATGGCTTCTTTTATTTTACGTTTATTAATATTAGGTTCACAACAAATAATTCTAACAGTTTTATTTTCATTACAATGTTCTTTATATTTAAAATGTTGGTAGGCATGTGACGGAGCATTTCCATGTTCTGCTATTCTAGTACTTAAATTTCTACCAGTCTTCCCTAAATAGATAATATTACAGTCCATACATGTTGGTAGACGTGTGACGGAGCATTTCCATGTTCTGCTATTCTAGTACTTAAATTTCTACCAGTCTTCCCTAAATAGATAATATTACAGTCCATACATGTTGGTAGACGTGTGACGGAGAATGTCTATGTTTTGCTATTCTAGTACTTAAATTTCTACCAGTCTCCCCTATATAGAGATTATTACAGTCTGTACATTCTACACTATAAACTACTACTTTCTCAATAGCAGTCAGTTTAATTTTATTTTTAAAGATTATATTAATCTTTTTTTCCCTGGTAAAAAAACAAAATTTCCTTCAACTGGACGTTTATACATACTTTCTATTGTATTTGATAAGCCAGGTACATGAGGAATTACACAATAAACTAAATTATCTGAATTATTTTTTCTTATTTTCTATCAACTTATCTTAAGTATTTTTAACCACACTAATAGGATTATCATTCCTCTTCACCAGTACAGATAATGCACTTCCTTATCCAGCTCTTCTTTTGAACTGCAATTAGTTTTTGCAATAGCCAATAACGTTTTTATAATCCATATTTTTTGAGATTTGTGATGAGCTGACGACCAGTTCAAGTACAAATCAGTATGAGTTTTCTTTCTAAATGCCTTCATTTTAAAGGCATTATTAACCCTACTAACCATGATATTGAGAAAAGATAACTCACCCTCATTCTCATGATGAATTTGATATTAGGGTGTAGTGAATTTAAAGATACTAAAAACTGTCAATCATTTGTCCAGAAACAAACCCAGCGAATATATCGTCAAATATCTGACAAAAAACAACAACAAAAACGAACATAATCCTAGATTAACCGTACTTTTAACTTTACAATCCAGCATATTCATAAAGATATTAGCTAGAATAGGTGCTAATGGACTGCCCATACTTATTTCCTCAGTCTTATCATAAAATTCTTCAATAAATCGAAATACATTTTGTGTTGTTGTAAAAATTAACATTCGTTTTAAACTTCTGAAGAAAGTTGTGTTCTTGGATTTTCATCTAGTATAAAATAAGAAAGAGTACAATCAATAGATTGATTGGTACTTGAGTAAATAATGAAGCAACATTGAAATTAACTAAAAACTACAAGGACTGAACGTACCCAATAACTTAGTAAAATGTTCTATATTTTTTATGACACATTCTCCCTGTAATGCATAAAGTCTAAATATTCAAGATCAAATTTACCTAGATTATGATTAAACGCTCCACCAGTGGATACAATAGGTCTGAGAGGTACATCTTGTTTATCATATGTATCTTAGGCAACCCATAAATGGGAGATGTTTTTACCGTTTACAATTGCGCTGAATACCTGATGATGCCACATTAACAGTGGCGAAACGTTTTCTGAATAATATATATGTTTTCTATCCCATTTTAGCTGGTTTTTTTTATTTTAAACGTGTTCGATTAGTCAATATTTAGCAAACTATAATATTCTGTATTTCTAGAAATTTAACCTATCTAATATATTTCAAATGATATTATTTTTACGTGCAATGTTGGGTTTCAAGGGTCAATGCGTAAGTATGAACAATAAAGTTATAGCTTTTAGAACTGTCAGTAAAATCAGATATGTAAAGTAAATAAATATTCGCTTTAAACTAGGAATTCGG